TTCCGGAGGAGTACCCGGGCGGTCCTGTTGTTAGGATTCTACGGGGGCATGGGGGCCTCTAATCCCAAGAAGAAGCAAGTGGGTCAAACTTTCGTCCTACCGCAGTATAATAAGGAACCACCAAAATAGTATAGGTAACTATGAAGGCTCGTATATTAGTCCCGAAGCCAAGACAGAACTCGAAAGGCACCCTGGCTGCAAGGAAGCGACCTCGCACGGCTCAGAGTTACGCGCATAAGGCGCAGAGCGATAAGATATCCCTGTGCATCCAAGTGGAGCCGCAGTCGGTAAACTGACAGCCCGGAGGATGACCATGATGGCGATGAGGACGATGACTACGATGACGATGCGGATGATGACGATGATGATGATGATGATGGTGATGGTGACATCTGGTGACGGTGATGCCCAAAACGATGATGCTCCAAAACTCCCGGGCTTTGCCCTAAACCCTAAACTTTAAATTTTAAACGTTTAAACTCGAAATTTTACACTTTAAATATTGAATTTGAAACCCCGAACCCGAAACCCCTAAACCAATTCCGGGCCTCCTCCGCAGCCCCCGAAGTTGAAGTTCATGCCGCCGCCGCCGCCGCCACCGCCGCCCTTACCTCCGCCGCCGCAGCCGGCCAACCTGAGTTTGTTGGGTTTCGGGCTTTAGGGTTGAGGGTTGAGGGGCAAGGGGTTTAGGGTTTAGGGTTTAGGGTTTGGGGGTTTAGGGGTTTAGGGGTTCAGGGTTTAGGGTTTAGGTTTTAAGGCTGAGGGTTGAAGGGTTTAAGGCTTAAGGGTTTAAGGCTTTAGGGTTTAGGAGTTTAAGGTTTAGGAGTTTAGGGTTTGGGTTTAGGGTTCAGGGCGTAGGATGGAGGGCTGAGGGTTTCGGTGTAGGGTTTAATGTTGAGGGTTAAGAGTTCAGGGTGTAGGGTTCAAGGTTTAGGGTTTAGGGATTGGGGTGAATTACAATAGAAACGGCGGCAAGGCAAGAAACGACGAGCAAGACAAAAGCAGAACGACAGCAACGACGACAAAGAAGAATAAGAAGAAACCCCATGACCCCAAACCACAAAAAGTCATTCTGAGATCGACCCTAAACCCGAAACCTAAACGGACCAACTGGCGAATGGTGCTGCTGAGATACCCCCACGCTGCAGCTCCCAAAATCTGCCTCAGCAAACTGCAACGGTTCGCGGTCTAGGGCTTGAGGTTTTGGCTGTAAGATTAGGGCTCAGGGAGTTCTGATCGCACCATTAGTACGATGGATTATGAACAACATGCATTATTATTGCTCTCCCTACCTTTGGCATCAATATCACGAACACTCATAATCTCCTAGTACGGTTGCTTCTGATTTTTCTATGTGTGCTGCTTTTCTCGTGATGCTGGTACGATCACTACTGCTTCGGTCTGACTGCCCTGCAGCAGCTGCTGCTGCAGAAGGACTAGTACTAGGAGTGCAGAAGGACTAGTACTAGGAGTCATTGCTGTCGCTGTTGTTGTGTTCTTATTAGTATTCCTATTATTAGTCTTATTACTCTTGTTCTAGCTCTTGTTATTGTTCTTGTTATTGTTCTTGTTATTGCTCGTGTTCTTGTGGTTGTTGTTGCTGCTGCTGCTGTTGTTATTGCTTTTGTTGTTGTTGTTGGTGGTGGTGGTGTTGTTGCTGTTGTTGTTGTTGTTGCTGTTGCTGTTGCTGTTGCTGTTGTTGTTGTTGTTGTTGTTGTTGTTGTTGTTGTTACTTCAGTGAGGCTTCTATATTCGCCTAAGAGGCTGGGGTTCCCTCAATAATTCGATAGGGTAGCCTGTTTTTGTTTTTTTCTAGGCTGTTCCGCGAGTCCCCATATGTACACTTAAAATAGGGAGCCCTAGGGAAGTAATTTTTGGTGACTACCTGAACCCTAAACTCTAAAACCCTAAAGCCCTAAACCCTATACCCCTAAACCCTAAACTCTAAAACCCTAAAGCACTAAACCCCT